CATCTGCATCAGATCCACCCTGTTCATCAATGATGCTGCCCAAATACGTAAAGGTTTTTACATCTTCCAAATCTTCTCCGTCAATTGTGATTGGATCGGTGCATTCTATGTTGTATCGGAGAATCTTGCTTTTCCCTTTGTGTATATTGAGACCTATTGCTGCTGAGGCTGCTGCCACACTGTTTGTCTTCTCCTGCATCTGTTGTTGCGTTTGGGATAGAAGGGCCAGATCGTCTGCGAAGTCTAGATCATCCAACTGCATCTCAGATGTCCATTGTATCCCGCGCTTTCCTTCAGACGTTGACGTCTTCATGATCCAGTCGATCACCAGGAGAAAGAGAAAGGGTGAGAGTAAGCAACCTTGCCTGACACCGGTCTTCACTTCGAACGACTTTGTCAACTGTCCTCCATGCACGATTTTGCAGTGTAATCCATCATATGAGTTCTGTATGATATTGACTATCTTCTGAGGCACGCCGTAGTGTCGAAGAAGTTTCCATAGTGTTGTTCTGTCCACGCTATCAAATGCCTTTTCGTAGTCAATGAAGTTGATGTAGAGTGATGAATTCCATTCAATTGATTGTTCCACAATGATCCGTAGAGTTGCGATTTGGTCTGTACACGATCTATCCTTACGGAATCCTCCCTGTTGGTCACGAAGTTGTGCGTCTACGCAGTCCTTCATCCTGTTTAACAATACCCTGTTGAAGACTTTTCCCGGTATTGAGAGAAGAGTGATGCCCCTGTAGTTATCACACTTGCTGAGATCGCCTTTCTTCGGTATTTTGATCAGTAGTCCTTCTTTCCAGTCTGTTGGTACTTGTTCCCCATCCCAAATCTTATTGAAGAGAATGTGGAGTATCCGTGCAGTTACCGCTACGTCTGCTTTTAGTGCCTCTGCTGGGATGTTGTCCGGTCCTGCTGCTTTGCCACTCTTGATTTGTCTGATGGCCATGCTGATTTCTTCAATTGTTGGTGGGCCAACATTAATTGGGAGGTCCGTGGGTGCTGCTTCGATGTTGGGTGGGTTCAGTGGGGCTGGTCGATTCAAGAGTTCTTTGAAGTGTTCTACCCACCTGTTTTGTTGCTCTTCAATGTTGGTGATTACCTCGCCTTCCTTGCTTTTCACTGGTCGTTCTGGTTTGCGGCGATTTCCAGAGAGTTTCTTGGTCGTGTCATACAATTGTCTCATGTTTCCTTCTCTTGCAGCCTTTTCCGCCGTCGTTGCTAAATCTTCCACATATTTACGTTTGTCGGTTCTGATGCTCCTCTTCACTTGTTTGTTTATTTCCGTGTATTCAGCTTGTGCCTTGGCTTTTTCTGCTCTTGTTCGGCTGGTATTGATCGCTGCCTTCTTGTTCCTCCTTTCTTGAATCTTGTCCAATGTACCAACAGTGATCCATTCCTTGTGGTGGTGCTTCTTGTGACCCAGGACCTCATGACATGTTGAAGTGATTGCCTCTTTGATCCCCTTCCAGTTGCTCTCCACAGTAGTTCCTTCTCCATTGAGTAGATCATGAAAGGCCTGGAACTTGTTGCTGAGGACTATCTTGAATTCGTTGAGTTTATTAGTATCCTGGAGAAAGGCCGTATTGAACTTTTGTGATACTGTCTGCCCCGTTGTCCAGTGCTTCTTGAGTTTCAATTTCATCTTGGCGACCAGTAAGTGATGATCTGATGCTATATCAGCTCCTCTCTTGGTTCTCACGTCCTCTATAGTCCTCCTGAACGTTTTGTTGATGCAAATATGGTCGATTTGGTTTTGTGTAGAGTGATCCGGTGAAGTCCATGTGGTTTTGTGTATGCGTTTATGTGGGAATATGGTGCCGCCTATGACCAGCTTATTGAAGGCACATAGGTTTGCAAATCTCTCACCATTTTCGTTTCTTTCTCCAAGTCCGTGTCGTCCCATGATGTCTTCATATCCAGTGTTGTCCGTTCCAACCTTGGCGTTGAAATCTCCCATCAGAATGGTCAGGTCCTTTGTTGGGCACTTCTCGACGATTGACTGTAGCCTATTGTAGAATTGATCTTTCGCGTCTTCATTGTAGTCGTTGGTAGGCGCATAGCATTGAATGATGTTCATTGAAATGCCCTCTTTCTTTGTTTTGAAGGAGGCTTTGATGATCCTTGGTCCATGAGATTCCCATCCTATAAGTGCATTTTGTGCTTGTTTGGACAGCATCAATGCAACTCCTTGTGTATGTGGTGCATTTTCTTCTTCATGGCCGGAGTATAACAGGAGCTCTCCTGTAGTTAGTCGTTGTTGTCCAACTTGTGTCCAATGTGTTTCACTGATCCCAAGTACCTCTAGGTTGTATCTTCTCATTTCTGCAGCAATCTGGAAGGCTCTTCCGGTGTCCCACATTGTACGAACATTCCATGTACCTAAATAAATGGTCGCTCTGGTTGTCAGAAGGGGCATCGGCCTCATAACTTCCGAAGGGATTCGGCTTTCATCATGAGGCGTCATAATTCTTCTAAATGAAGATCTTCTGACTCCCAGGGCAGAGTTTAAAAGGTTTGAATAATTTTTTCTGGTTAGCGTTTTTTTAGCGAGTTATTTTTCTACGGGATGGGGACGCTAACCCCATGCCCAATTCTCCTTCTTTATCCGGGCTTGGGACCGGCAGTAGCCCCCAGAGGGACTCCAGGCGGAGTTAATCTATTTCTATAGTGATTTGAAATTGATCTAAGATCATTAGCTTTACTGAATAAATGAATGAATGAATGAATTTTATTGATTTTTTTTTTCTTATCTTAGATCATTTATAATCTATTTCTATAGTGATTATAAATGATCTAAGATAAGAAAAAAAATCAATAAAATTCATTCATTCATTCATTCATTTATTCAGTAAAGCTAATGATCTTAGATCAATTTCAAATTTCAAAAAATGGCGCTTAAAAGAAACAATTAATCAAGAAAAGAAAAGAAAAATATAAAGGAAAAAAAGGAGAAAAAAATATCGATTAAATTTTGTAACAATTTATCGATAAAATGATAAATGATAAATGAACCAATCAGATTTAAGATAATAAATTTTAGATTTTGGCGCGATATTCATTCATTCATTTGGCTAACTAGCATTTTGGCATGAAAGCTGATGTCAACTGGTGATGAAACACCCCCTCCCTCCAAATCTAATTCATCACCTTAACCATTAATTATAAATTATCATTCTGTATCCTCATATTGGTTCTAGTTAGTAGATGAATCTTCTCAAAGTGATTTTAGAGTCTTTTTTAAGGTAGTTCATAAATTATAGTTTCATGGAAATTTTTGAACTATACTAAGTAGACTTCAGTCAAGTATATTATCCATGATTTCTAAATTAAAAACAAAATGGTTTAGTGGTTAAATGCTTGAGCGCGAGACTGATAGGTCCTGAGTTCGAATCTCGCTGGGGGCGGGATCTTGGATGCGTACTGCTGAGGAGTTCCACAATAAGACGAAACAGCTGTCCAGTACTTCTAGGTTTTCCATGATGGTTTAGCTTCAATTGACTCATGATCTCAACTATTGAAATTACTATAATATCCATAAAACCCCCTTGTTATATTGAAAACAATTAACTAATTGATCATTGAAGTAACATATTTGACAAAGGGCGGGGTTTATAAGAATAACTAGTTTGGAACTATATTAATTAATAATTATCAATGGTATAAATAACGTGGCCGATTCTAGAAAGATTCCCCAAACAAATATCACTATGCAACTACTGGGAAGATAATAGTCTGTTTATAGTCAAACAGTTAAAGGAAGGATGGTATTGGAGTTTGAATGAATAAAAAATATTCATTTCTGAATGATCCAGTGTTTAAAGAGCACTTCACCATTTAGGAGATCACTAATTTGATTGTCTATCTATGATATTATAAAATCGATAGCGACAAATCCCGCTTCGTCAGATTTCAGGTGGTTTTAACATGTTACACAAATGTAATCAGTATCTATTCATTATTTGTTGACTGACAAACAGTTTGTATTCAAGATGCCTATGGGGAAATGAAGTGGGAAATCAAATACAGAGACTCTTCGTGTATTACACGAACGACCACTGAAAGGTGTGAGCGGTTATTTCAAGAAGCTAACCATTTTTTGACATTGGCTACCTGACCGGTAATAATAATTCATTTAGATGATAAGTTATTCAGGTTTGCAATATGAACGTTAATTTACAATTTAGCTACTTCTGTGTCAATGCATGTTTCGAAACCGTACTGCTAGGTCACTCAACTAACTTGTCCTTCGAATTCTCACTTTGTGGTTTGGAAATGATCACTTCACTCACTTTGCACTTTGATTTCTCCTGTGTCGGATTTCATCTAGTATATTCCATCATTATATTTATACAGTGGTTATCAGTCTTCTTTTAACTTTTTCAAAAGCTATAGGGGACTTGAACTGGGAAAAATAATACTCAAATAAGATCAATAAAGAAACTAATTGGGCCATTAAAGAACAAATAATATAGAGGGAAAAATTTCTTTCTTTCCATCATTTGCTGTAACCGTACAATTGTATCTAGCGTTGGTTTAACATATAGAGTAATCTTCTGAAAAATAGAAAGTTAGCTACACTATAAATGAGTTAGTAAGTGCAGATTGCTAAAGAATCTCATACTAGGACGAAACAGCTTTCTACAACAACCTGGTTATTACCAGTTGTCTAATTAAAACCATTCAGTGATGTTTGGAGATATCAAGTGTCACAACACAGTTGCGCAATCATTTTGAGGTTAAAGGAAAAAGAAATTGGGGTAAAATAGATGTAAAAAAAGATAATTGTTCAATTGTAGAGTATGTAATAAAAATACGAAGTTTACCAGTAACCATAGTTACAATATTAATCTATCGAAAATACTGTTCACCAAGTATGGAATAGATTTTACCGGTTCATAATAATTATAACAACAAACATTCATCCATTCAAAACCTTTGAATTAATAGAACATGAAAATTAATTTTAAAAGATATGGTGACATCGAATATTAATGGTCATTCTTAAAGGTATAACTGTATATATTAGTACTACTACTACTACTACTACTACTACTACTACTACTACTACTACTACTACTACTACTACTACTACTACTACTACTACTACTACTACTACTACTACTACTACTACTACTACTACTACTACTACTACTACTACTACTACTACTACTACTACTACTACTACTACTACTACTACTACTACTACTACTACTACTACTACTACTACTACTACTACTACTACTACTACTACTACTACTACTACTACTACTACTACTACTACTACTACTACTACTACTACTACTACTACTACTACTACTACTACTACTACTACTACTACTACTACTACTACTACTACTACTACTACTACTACTACTACTACTACTACTACTACTACTACTACTACTACTACTACTACTACTACTACTACTACTACTACTACTACTACTACTACTACTACTACTACTACTACTACTACTACTACTACTACTACTACTACTACTACTACTACTACTACTACTACTACTACTACTACTACTACTACTACTACTACTACTACTACTACTACTACTACTACTACTACTACTACTACTACTACTACTACTACTACTACTACTACTACTACTACTACTACTACTACTACTACTACTACTACTACTACTACTACTACTACTACTACTACTACTACTACTACTACTACTACTACTACTACTACTACTACTACTACTACTACTACTACTACTACTACTACTACTACTACTACTACTACTACTACTACTACTACTACTACTACTACTACTACTACTACTACTACTACTACTACTACTACTACTACTACTACTACTACTACTACTACTACTACTACTACTACTACTACTACTACTACTACTACTACTACTACTACTACTACTACTACTACTACTACTACTACTACTACTACTACTACTACTACTACTACTACTACTACTACTACTACTACTACTACTACTACTACTACTACTACTACTACTACTACTACTACTACTACTACTACTACTACTACTACTACTACTACTACTACTACTACTACTACTACTACTACTACTACTACTACTACTACTACTACTACTACTACTACTACTACTACTACTACTACTACTACTACTACTACTACTACTACTACTACTACTACTACTACTACTACTACTACTACTACTACTACTACTACTACTACTACTACTACTACTACTACTACTACTACTACTACTACTACTACTACTACTACTACTACTACTACTACTACTACTACTACTACTACTACTACTACTACTACTACTACTACTACTACTACTACTACTACTACTACTACTACTACTACTACTACTACTACTACTACTACTACTACTACTACTACTACTACTACTACTACTACTAATATTTTTGACCGTCTGAAATAAGTAAACATTGGTTTCTTTGTTTGGTTCATCCGTTCATTTCATTCATAACAAATTTGTAATTTCTTGCTATATATATCCTCATTTTCATTCAGTTGATCGATAGTTCTGTCTTTGAAAACTTTTTCAGTTGCAGTTGTTCGAATTAGATTCAGTGATTAAATTTATAAGTTTGATCCTTTTGTCCATTACAGAAATTTTCATCATAGAAACTTACCTCTCTAACAATGAAGATCAGCAAAGGATGAAAAGTACAAACAGGTTTATTACGATAGTTAAGACTTACCTATTCAATTATACACAATATACTAAATTTGTAAAAACGAAAAAATAAACCCAATCTGTTCTTAGAAATGTCAAACAGATTAGGTATTTTAATGTTAACATGTCAATAATGGATTATATGGCTATAAATCCAATACATTACATAGGAAAACAGCAGGAAATCACTTAAGACATCATTCATAAATCATTCTTATTCTATGTATTCTGTGTAATTATTGATTAATAATAGATATTTGTTATTGATTGATCTCAGTTATAGAATTAATTGAAATCAAGAAGATCTAGGAAGGTATTTTGTTTTCGTATAGAATTATTCATCAATGCGATTTAATTACCAAGATTACCTTATACAGCTTTCCAATTACATTAATCCCTATCAAGTTGATTTCATTACAAGTTTATTGTTAATAATTTTTCAGGTTAGCGTTTTTTAGGGAGTTAATTTTCTACGGGATGGGGTCACTAACCCCATGCCCAACCCTCCTCCTTTATCCGGGCTTGGGACCGGCAGTAGCCCCCGGAGGGACTGTAGGCGGAGTCGGATGCAGATGTGAAAGCGCGGGTCGGTAGAGTGAGAGCAGTATATTTACAACTGAAGGACATCTGGAACTCAAAACAACTCTCTGTCAACCAACACCAAAGTCACAATTTTCAATACAAATGTCAACACAGTTCTACTGTATGGGGCGGAAACCTGGAGAACTACGAAAGCTATCATCCAAAACATACAGGTGTTTATTAACAGTTGTCTACGCAAAATACTTCGAATCCGTTGGCAAGACACTATCAGAAACAATCTACTGTGGGAAAGAGCAAACCAGATTCTGGCAGAGAAAGAAATCAGGAAGAAGCGCTGGAAGTGGATAGGATACACAATGAGAGAAGCACCTGACTGCGTCACAATACAAGCCCTCACATGGAATCTTGAAGGCCAAAAGAAAAGAGGAAGACCAAAGAACACATTACGCCGAGAAATGGAGATAGACATGAGAAAAATGAACAAGAATTGGATGGAACTAGAAAATAAGGCCCAGAACAGAGTGGGTTGGAGAATGCTGGTCTGCGGCCTATGCTCCATTGGGAGTAACAGGCGTAAGTAAGTAAGTAAGTTATTGTTAATATTCTCAAATACATTCTTGGTTTATCTTTAGCATATGAGTATCACAATAGAATGAAATGGCCGTCCAATGCTTCCAGATTTTCCACGGTGGTCTAGCTTCAATTAACTCATGATCTCAACTATTGTGAAATTACTATAATATCCACACAAAACCCATTCTGATATAAATAACCTATAGTTAAAAATTCAGAGAATTCAAGTGTAGATTCTTTTATTACAGTAAACACGGATTTAAATAAGGACACGGTGTGTTTTTTCTATGGTAACTTAATAGAGAACATGTACACGTGATCTGAATAGTTAGGTGTTGGTTACCTCATGAAGTAAAACATTATCTTTAGTTTGTTTTCACAATTGAAATAACTAATTATTGATCATATTGTTAAAGGAATAGGAGATCATGGATTGTTTTAAGCTATTATGAGGACAGAACATTACTTATTGTGTGATTGTCATTTCTAATCTTGATTATTCATCTGTCAACTGACAAATAACTCATAGTTGTCCGAACATTTACTATGCAAATATGACAGCTTTAACTTCTTATTACGTATTCAGATGCTAGTTCGTTGCAGAAAGTCGACAGGGAACTCTAGATAGTACTTTCAATCTAGTTAGCACTCATCATTAAGAAATACGTACAATTATGTGGTTAATGATGCTCTTTGGTGGGTTTTAAATAGCGTCACCTTACAGCTTTAAGACCTGATGTATTCGGGGCACAACTAATCCTATGCATGTTTGTCTAGCGCGCTCATAAACATTACTTGAAGGAGAACCTGAGGGAGAAATTTGCTTCTATTACAATCTGTTTACGTGAAAATGCATACCCATTGAAATTTATCGAGAAGGAATCCAGACCCAACGTATATGTTAAGCACCGTACAGCGGAAAAAAAAACCTGCTTCTTGTATCTGTGCTTCAAAGAAGACGAAGTTACTGGAATAATTAACCACAGGACTGACGACATTATGCAAAAAGAACTGCTCACTTACTCAAACAAATATTGACAGGTCCTCTCCTCTCAGTTGCTATAACTATACATGCCTGTTTCAAAGTACATATATTGGAAAAACAGAGCAAGGAGTACATGTTCAGATTTCCGAGCACATTCAAAAGAATTTGAGACTCAGAGGCTCAATGATTTTAAACACTACAAAAGCTCGATATTTTATTTATCTTTGGATATCATTAACATTTACTCAATCCTTCAAAATAATCAATAAACAAAAAACATAGTCTCTTTGCCTTACCGAAGCAGTAAAAAGATTAAAAACTTAAACTACTTACTTAGTAGTAAGTAAGTAGTTAGTAGTATCTTATCCGTTTTCAAAATTCTTTTCATTACTGTCTCACGTTCCTCATTACGTTTTCTCAATTCTATCTATAAGTGACCTCACAGTTGGTCTTGTACAAATATATCTATCCAATTATTTATGACAACCCTTGTTATTCCAATTCTCTCCATCATTTGTATCAATTAATTCAGATTATATCATACCTCAACGTTGTTACGCTTTAATACAAATTGTTGGTTCTAAGCAGATGATGAGAAACTACAAAACCAATCAATTTTATATTATTCTACCTTAATCTTTATTAATAATATTACTAGTAACTATCAGGACTCAGTAGCTAAGTAGATAATGTGGTAGCGTTTAGAGTGAACGGTATAGGGTCTGAGTCCCAGGGTGGATATCAACTCTGAGATGCAGGTACATCTAACTGACGAGTCCCAGGTGGGACGAAACGCGTATTGTAGATTCCACTGTGACCAGCTATCAATTTCCGCTCATAATTTTTTCAATGTTTCTAAAAATGAAAAATACTTCGTTGCATTTTTTTCTGCTAATTGCAACTAATCATTATGTTGTTGTTCGATCCCCGGAGGGGTCGAGAACGCACACTGATGAAGATTCTAACGCTGAGACAAAACAGTAATCTAGTGCTTCCTTATTTATTCTGAATGTTTAACCGAAGTCAGTTCACGCTTTGACCTATATAACTCAACAGTCTCCATAACCCTATTAGGGTGTTTCGATCTAAGTCTCTGCTATATGAATGTGTAAATTTCTGTACATATACAAAGATAGTAAGTAATTCAACCGCTTTTTTGTCAGTAATTTGGAGTTAGTCATACACTCAATAGTAACAGATATTACATCGTCTAGTCCTTTATTTTCATTGAATTCTTTCAATTATATAGTAGTTTGTAGTTTGTTTCAAAGATTCATACTGTTTGACAATAAAGATTTATTTTCTGTCATATATAGGTGGTCTAGCTTCAATTGATTCATGATCTCAACTATTGTGAAATTACTATAATATCCACAAAAACCCATTCTGATACTAATCAACATGTGCTCACTAGCGACTGGCTTCAAGAGGTATTTCCTGAAGTTCTAGTGAGAAGCAGTGACCAGTGGAGTTCATCCGCGTCTGTTGTGAAATAATAACTTACTGATGACAATGGTGGATGTGTCACTCAATTTCGTGGATTGTTTGAAGTTATACATTAACACCGTTGGATGCCGGTAGGTTCACTGAACTACAGGTCAAGCGCACGCATGAGACTGATAGGTCCTGGGTATGAATCTCGCGAGGCCGGATCATGGATATGCGCTGCTCAGGAGTCACACACTAGGACGAAATGACCGTCCAGTGTATCCAGGTTTTCCATGATGTATTCACTTTTACGAATTAAGTTTATTATATAACCGAAACTTAGTTATGATATATTGTTATATCTCAGCCAAAATTCTCAAATGTAGATTCAAAGTTCATGAAATAAAAATGTATTTTAGAGTTAACAAATCACTAATTGACTCTGATCAACTTTGAAACTCAATATGATAATTTTTTTAGTCGATTCTATACGTTTCCAAACTCTAACATGGTTTTTCGATAAAGCATATTACAAAATATTTATTGAATATTGTATTGTAAACTCCGCCTGTAGTTCTTCTAGTGTTACTGCTGATTCCAAGCCCGTGTAAATAAGGAGGGGTGGGTATGGGGTATGCAGCCCCATCCTGTAGATACAAACCTTGTTTTTTTTAAAAAAAAAACGCTAACCACATTAAACAAATTAAACCATTTAAACTCTAACCTCCTAGTTGAATCAAGAATTATGACGCCTCATCATGAATGCCGAGATACTTAGCTGATGCCCCGTCTAACAACCAGAGCAACTATTATTATAGATACTGTAGCCTATGCTCCTCCACAAGGTTTAACAAGCGTAAGTAACTGAAAAAAATGTAAGTAAATTGTATTGAAACATATATTCTTCCTTTAAATAGAAAATCCAGGACGGCCGTCATGGAAACCACTGCCAGCCACTATTCATCTATGCTTATAATGCTTGTGACTTAAGGTAATATCGAGGTAATGCATCCAGTATGGACATATAAGCCAATAAAAGACAGATCAATTCCAGTCCTTAACGTACAAAGTGAAGTTAGAGAATCCTGTAAGTTTCGTAATAGTTAAGTTTTCAGTGTAGCATTAAGTTGGAATACTTGAACTAACATTTTAGTGATTTATTATTTCACAAGTGTGAATGTGTGTTATCGCTAACAAAATCAATATTTTTCTG